CATGGAGTGAATATGATATAAATGAGGATTTGAGGATGACATCAACGTTGTAAGCGAGGGTGACTAGGAAAATGATGGTAACCTCAACAGTAATTTTGGCAATAATGGTATCAAAAAGAAAGTGGCCACTGAAACATTTTTTCAAATGCACAGAAGAGAACAGAAGTCAGAAGAAATTACAGACAAGCAAAATAATTTTTAAAGTAATATGCTGAATATATATGCTTTTTACGTTTTTTAAACATTCATTTTAAACAATTTTTAATTCCAAATTTTCTCCCTCCCCCACCCATTGAGAAGGCAAGCATATTATATACTTTTTTTAAAAAGCAAGTGGGACTGAACAAACATTCACAGTTTCGTGTACAAATTTCTTTTTGTGTCCTGCCGTATATGTGAAAAGGGTCTTTCCCATACCTGCCCCCTGCACTGTTCAGAATGAGGGGGCTGGGGAGCTAAAGGAGACTGAGAAGGAGCCATCAGACAAGTAAGAGAACCAGGAAGGACAGGGGGATTAACAGTGTCAAAGGCTACAGAAAAAATCAAGGATGAAGATTGAAAAAAGGCCATTGGATTTGACTATTAAGAGATTGCTGCTATCTTTGGAGAGATCACTTGCATTGGGATGATGCAGTCAGAACTCAATGCAGAGGGTTTAGAAGAGTAAGTGAAGAGAGCCAGCAGAGGCACCTGGTGCATAGCTTTCTCAGGGAGCTGAAAGGGGAAGGAGAGAGGTAGGATGGTAGTGTGAGAGATGATATCTCAGAAGTGAAGCCTCCTCAAAGGGTCATTAGTTCTTGTTAATGGTTCTGGTATTGTTGCTTTTGAGTGGTACATGTGTACCAACACTAAGTGAAGACCCCTCAGAATGCAAGACCCCCTTCCCCAGCCTTCTCCCTCTCCTACTCTTGGATAGTGTTAGCAGAAACTCCTGAGACATGGGAGCATCCTATCTCGTCCTCTAGCTGGTTGTATGACCTTGGGTAAAAGACTGCTGAAACTGTGAGGCCCTGACAAGGGGAGCATGCTAACATAATTTCTATACCTCTTTGCTCTCTCTGCTGCTGGGGTAGTTTTTACATGAATAGATTTTACACCTGAGACTCAGTAAATGAGCCGATGGGAAGGGGGTAAGGGTAGGCTGCTACGCTGGGGTCTATGTAAGTGTTGCCTTGAACAAGGAGCACTCGGAAGTCTCCGGGCAGCTGAGGCAGCATGGGGGTGCACTTTCTCCAGAAAGTCAATAAGGAGATCTCTCCATTTGCAAACTTTTGTCAAGACTCTGGTTTTTTTAACTGAGTGAAAATGTAAACAATGTGAGATCTCTCAGATGGACTGAGTGCAGCAATTTCTTAGACTGTTAGAAACTCAAGGTTGGTTACACTAGCCTTAATAGGCCTAAGTTTCAGGTTCCTAGAAAACACATGATTTGTACTGTTACATCAGCATTAGGTAACAGCTAATTACTGAAAAGGATAAAATAGCTAGGATTGCTTGTATTATAATGAGATTCCTTGTTCCTGTTTCGTGTTTTAGATTGTAAGGCTCAAATTCCTGTCCAGTGGGAATTCAAAGCCAGTGGTGGGTGGGTATCTCTGTCTTAGGGCTATATAACCTTTGTCCTGACCTTTGTGCCTTGCCTCGCTTCACTCGGACTGCCGGACAAAGCAGATGCCTGCTTCTTGCAAGAATGTAATAAATCTTTCACTTTATACCTAGAAAATCTCTGAGTGTTATTTTTATGTAGCTATAGCACACAGTAGCTAGTGGGGATGCATGTCATAGCCAAGACTATAATAGTCATCTTTCATTCACTTGGTTTTTCCTGTGTGCAGAATCGAGCCAAACTCTTTAGATGCTCTTTCAAAGGTTCTACTGGTGTTCTGGGTTTTGGTGTAATCAGTATATCATCTGTCTCCTCATTTTCCATCAACTGCTCTGATGCTTGCTTTGGATTCTGGGAATATCATGCCTTCCCCACGATAAGTTCATCACCTGGAATCTCATTGTTCTTTTGATATTCAACACCTCAGAATCCCTCTCCCCTCTGCTTGGAGGGCTGGAGGTCAGAGTAATAAACGCCCAAAGCCTTCCCTCTATAATGAAAGAGCTCAGAATAAGTCCACATTTTCCATCTGTTGTTCTAGTTTCCACTTAACAAATGGTAGCCTCTCCCACTCCCTTTTCCAGCTTCCTTTTGTGTATTATCTTCCCCCTTTAGATTGTAAGTTCCTTGTGGGTGGGGATTATTTTTTTTATTTGTCCCAGCAATTAGCACAGTGCCTGGCACATAGTAGGTGCATAAAAAAATATTTACTGACCATGATTATGACTATGTAAAGTTTCACCTGGAAGATCTCAGTCAGGAATCCCTCCTTTAATTGGGATTCTTCACTAGATCTCCTTCATGATGGTGGGAAACATTTTTAGTGAGCATAACTACAGATGTCTTCAGGCTATATATCCTAGACCAGACTTGTGCCTTAGAGCCCTGCACTTCTGATTGGTGCGTTTTCTCTAACTAGCCTACCTATCCCCACCATTATGTTGCTCTTCTTGTGTTCCCTTCTTCTCCCCTGCTTTTCACTCTTGGCTCTGGGAACAGTAATCAAATCACACTACCATTTCTGGAAAGAACATGTCAACCCAATTGTCCTATAGCTCCACTCACCAACCCTATGACTTTCAATATAAAACACTGCTCCCAGGATGCCATTCCTCAATATGTATGGTCTTTCCCTATTAGGGTATAAGTTCTTTGAGGACAAGGGCTACCTTTCTTTTGTTTGCAATCTCAGTGCCCAAAACTTAGTAATGTTTGCTTAATAAATCCTTTTGTATAACATGTATAACTATTTTATGTTTTAATTGAAATTAATGATCTAGGGGTGGCCAAATGAGGTTTCCTCTGTTGTTAGTTATCTTTCAAGGAACATTGCATGATTTTTAAATATGCATGGGAAATACCTTGTTGGAGAACTTTTATGGTGGTATTTTGCTCCATTGAATCAAATGTTTTGGAAGTCCAAAGATAATCTCGTTTGTGAAAACCTGCCTAATGCATGCTACTATCTTCATTATGGTTTCACATACCGTGCTTTTTCTGTACTTCTCTGTGTATGGAACTACATGTTTGATGTTTGTCAAGTACAAAATAACAAAATTTTTAAAAAGCAAGTAAAAGATAACCTTGAAACATATGTGGACCATTCTCATTAGAATTTCATATAAATGAGAAAGAATATGGGTGGGTATCCAGGACTGACAATATTTTACATATGAATATATAGGTTTTTATTTTTCAAGGCACCTGAAAAAAACATTCGTCAGTTCTACGAGCATTTGTTAAATACCTGTTGCGTGCAAGACACTGGTGATACAAAAACAGTCCTTGCCATCAAAGAGCTAATACTCTACAGGAGGAGCAACATGAATACAGATAAGCAAATATAATACATCTAAAGGAAATGCACCAGAAGTTTTGAGGGGAGGGGACAGCACCTAAATAGGAGACATACTTGAACTGAGCTTTGGAGGGAGCTAGAGATTTTGACAGGCAAAGGAGGAGAGCAATTCTAGGTACGCAGGACAGTCTGTGAAGAGGCAAACATATGAGATAGAATGTTGTCTACGAAGAACAGTAAATAGGCTAGTTTGCTTGGACTGTAGAATCTGTATGAGGGGGAATAACGGTAGAAGTCCAAAGATTGGAGCCACATTGTGAAGAGTTTTAAATGCCAGAGGAATTTGTATTCTATCCTATTGCTTATAATCCTGAGTATGCAGGGCAGGTAAAATCCTCATTTTACAGAAAAGAAAACTAAGGCTTAATTGGAGAAGTGGAAGTGATTTGTCTAAAGTCAAACAACTAGTAAACAGAAAGACCAGAACTATTTTTGTTTGTTCAGTCATTTCAGTTGTGTGCCAATCTGTGACCCCATTTGGGGTTTTCTTGGCAAAGATACTAGAGTGGTTTGCCATTTCCTTCTCCAGCTCAAATGAGGAAACTGAGGCAAACAGGACTAGGTGACTTGCCCAGGGTTATACAGCTGGTAAGTGTCTGAGACCAGGTTTGAACTTGGGAAAATGAGTCTTCCCAACTTCACGGCCAAAAGGCCTTTTGAGTAGCTGCCAAAAATGTAGAAGATGGGGTTAAATGGGTACTGACTCAAGGGCACATTATGGAACTGCTTTATAAAAGTCCTGATAGGAGCTTTTTAAAAAGTCTCTTAAAATCAGAGTTCAAAAACCATTCTGAGTGAGTCCTAATTACTTCAATTTTGGCTGAAGTTTTACTACACACACTTAGGACAATGGTTCAAAAAGGGTCATCAGTTTTGCTAGATGTGTTACAAAAATTTGCCTTCCTAAACAGCAAGTTTGCAAGCGTCTCCATTTATTAGTCTACTCTCACCTCTTCCCCATTTCTTCCACACACTGAGAAACTTTTGGACAACCTAGCCTAGCCCAAATGCTCAGTGGGAGTCTGCTATCTGTCATCACAATTGGAGTCAGAATAGCAGCTCTATTAGCTGAAAGTCTAGGTAGGGGAAGTAACAATAGGAATGGGGGTGGTGGAAGGAGGAGGCCAGAGAGACGGGCAGAGGAATCTCAAGGCTCAGGTAATGGGTCAAAAGGTTTAACTACTTAGGAAACCTACTTTGTTGCCAACTTAAACAATCAGTGTGCCAAGGCTCCTCACATAAGAACACTATGCCTCAACCAAAAAAAAACCCACTGACCTAGAATAAACTTTTGTTTGTTTTTATGGATCTAGAATTTGTTAAGTTTCTTAGACTGATTTTTTGATACGTAGATGCTGTTTGGTTAATTTTATTCCTTCAATTTGACATTTAAGTACCTACTGTGTATAGGACACTGTGATAGGCATTAGGAGAGATACAAAGTTTCAGTAGGTCAATGACTGTTCTCATGAAATGTTTTTTCTCTATATTCACATAAAGAGGAAATAACATTATTTCAAAGTCCTTACTACTCCATAAAATGCAGGTTCTCATAACTTTATTGAAAAATAATTTTATTTCCTAGAGTAAGTCTACTTCTTAGGAATTACACAATTAACTGGATACCCAATACAAAATCCACCCATTCCCCTATTATTAGATCAAATTACAGTAAAAGATTTTAGGGTTTGGGAGAAGCAATTGCAAAAACTATTTGTGTGACCTTTCGGAAATCAATGCTAAAATTTAGGACTAGAAACCTGTCCCAAACTTAGTTTATTATGAAGACTCAATCAGAATCAAGTCTCATTCTCTCTGGCCCTCCCCAATATCTTCCTGTGATATACCAAACCTACAGTGAATTGAATGGCATTTAAAATCAGGATTAAGGACTAGCTTAAACTCAGCAAATACCCTTTTCCAGAGCAGCTGCCAGATAAGAGTAAATCCCACAAATTCCCTCCTGCTCCAAAACCTCAAAGCCTTGAGGATATGAGAGAGGCCAAACTGAGCCTCCTAAATCAAGGCTCTTCTGAACTTATATACAGTGATGCCCTAAGACTACCAGCAGTTTCTCTATCTTCTTCCCTCTGAGTTTTGGCCAAATTGACTTTTTGGTACTTCACGATTGTGAGGTGTTCAGTTTTTCTGGTTTTTTTGAATTTCAAACACTCAGGTATAGGTTCACTTTGATTTTTTCCTTCCATCATTTATATATGACATACTTTTTTTTAAACTCAAGCTATTTTTATATATTCTAATTTGGGTCAACATTTCACAATAGCTTGAAATTCAAACCAGAAATGTGAATATAAATGAAGTGCCAAATTCAGTGATATGAGGTAGTCAATAACATGCCATATGTATTTACTGGCTAAATTCTCCCACCTCACTCTTTACCCTTAATATTTCCCTGTAAGAGAAGAGATGGAGAGGATGATGCAAACATCTAGGTACTGGTCCATTACCTCATCTGAAAACCCTTCATTAAATTAAATCATCCCAAAGCCCCTTTAAGAGTCAATGGCATTCCTGGCCTTTGCCACATCTCAAATATTCAAAGAGTCAATCAGAATTACAATTGTTCACAAGTTTGAATTACTTGTTGATGCAAGACTGCATTGCCTTGTCCACAGGAGGCCTGACCAACTTTTGTGACCAAATTTCTGCATGGTCTCTGAAGGGAGTCCGGGTTCTTCTCAGCTGCAGAGGAATTTTGGGAAATTTCCTCTTCTATCTTCACTGAAGGGCTGGGTTCCTAGTATTAATACTGGAAACTCCTCTTGGTCTGGATATCATCAAGAATCTGTTGCAATTCCTCATCTTCAAATCGACCCTCCAGGCTGCAAGAGAACCAAATCGACCAATCAATTAGAGTGAAGATGCTTTTTTCTTAATCTTAAGAATTCCACAACCTTTCAGCTTCCCTATACTAATTTTCAACACTACTTGCCTACCACCTTTTCATTTAGGCCTAAAGATGACATTTCCCAGTTATAATGAATGATTTCCTCATTAGTCATTTTTCAAATCTTAGATACAAAATCTGACTTTTCTTTCAATCTTTCTCTCCACCACAGTTTAATATTAGGTAAGGAAAATTAAGAATTCACATGCACAGGCCTAAATAATTTATGTTTCTGTTTTACTGAGGCTTTTTGTTTGTGTATCACATTAATTTCTGAACATAGCTTTTCTTTGTCCCCTAACCAGTGAGCCTTCCCTCGAAACACATTGAAAGGGGGAAGGAGGGGGAAACTGTTCAGCAAAACCAATCTACACATCAACTGCATCTGATGTAATTATGTAACAGTCTACACCCACAGTCCCCCATCTTCCTAATGGAAGGAGATGGACATATTTTCATCCCTTATGAGGGTTGGGGGCCAAGCTTGATGAGTACAGTTACAAAGCATTCCATTTTGTTAGTTTCCTCATGCCGGAATTAGTTCTTACCTTGGAATCAAGCCTTAGCCTCTTCTGCTGTCTCAGGACAAAGGTTTGCTAAACAGGCCAACTCAAACTTATGGAGCTTTTTCTGGAGTAACAGACTGAACAGAGAGAATACGATATAACCAAAAAAGAAAGAATGACCAAAACGAAAAAGCACAAAATCATTCATTCTGAAAGTATATATTGAACACCTATTACATACTAGGCACTGTAGGGTGTCATAAAAGAAAAAACACAACCCTTTCACAGATACTGCCCGAATATAGTTAATGGTAGCAAAGGACCTCCCATTCAAATGCCTTCCTCTGCCTGCAGGGCAATATGGAACATCAAGACTGGCAAAGAGATGGCTGAGATAAGGAAGTTAAGAGAACAGTATCTGTGGTTAGGTTAGCCTATTACTGAGACCCAACAACACGGAATATCCATTAGCAAGAAAGCAATATTTTTCACGGACCTAAAATTAATCTACCTTTTACCTGCAATAAATTTTGGTGTTGTTTGCTATTGTTTCCTTTTTCCTTACTTCAAAATCCATACCAAATCCATAATGTCAGGTATTCTGTATTAAAAATCCTCTGAGGGGATGTGGAAAAATTGGGACATTAATATACTGCTGGTGGAACTGTAAACTGATCCAATCATTTTAGAGAACAATCTGAAATTATGCCCAAAGTGTTAAAAAACTGTGTTTTAAAAAAGTGTTTCAAAATAGTGTTATAAAACTTCAATCCAGAAATAATTAGGTGTGTTTCCCAAGATGATCAGGGAAGAAGGAAAAGAACCTATACATTCTTTTTGTTTGTTTGGTTTTTTTGGTGAGGCAATTGGGGTTAAGTGACTTGCCCAGGGTCACACAGCTAGTGTCAAATGTCTGGTCTGAGACGGGATTTGAACTCAGGTCTTCCTGACTGCCGAGCAGGTGCTCTATTCACTTCACCACCTAGCTGCCCCCTATACATTCTAAAATATTTATAGCAGCTCTCTTGTGGTGGGAAAAAAGGTACTAGATGTTGTAAGGTGTCATTAAAAGGGGGGATGCCCATCAATTGGAGAATGGCTAAACAAGTTTCAGTTATGTGATTGTGATGGAATATTACTGTGCTGTAGGCAGCTAGGTGGCACAGTGCATAGAGCACCGGCCCTGAAGTCAGAAGGACCTGAGTTCAAATCCGGCCTCAGACCAAACACTTGATACTTACTAGCTGTGTAACCCTGGGCAAGTCACTTAACTCCAACTGCCTAAAATAATTAAATAAATAAATAGTTAAATAAATGAATAATTTTAAAAAGGAAATGATGTGCTGGCTGATTTTAGAAAAACATGAAAAGACTTGCACGAAGTAATGAAAACTGAAGTGAGCAGAACCAAATAAACATTGTATAGAGAACAGTAATACCATATGAAAAATAATTGTGAACAACCAAGTTTTCTGAGTACTATACATACTCAAATCAACTATAAAGGACCTATGAGGATGCTATCCACCTCCAGAGAAAGAACTGATAAACAGAAGTATGCATAGTATGGTTTTACATATATTTGTAAATTTGTGTCAAATGGTGGCCCTCTCTAATGTGCATGGGAAGGGAGGGGGGAAGGGAGGGAGTTTTAACTTAAAATGTAACAAAAGAATTAAATTTTTAGAAAACCCTCTAAACTGTTCAGCTCTTTGTAACTCTATTTAGGGTTTTCTTGGCAAAGATCCTGTAGAGGTTTACCATTTCCTTCTCCAGCTCATTTTACAGATGAGGAAACTGAGGTAAACTGGGTTAGGTGACTTGCCCAGGGTCACACAGCTAGTGTGAGGCTAGATTTGAATTCAGGAAGATAAGTCTTTCTGACTCCAGACCTGGTACTCTATCCACTGTGCCACCTAGCTGCCCAAACATTAATCCGTAAGAGAGCATTCTAAGTATAGGTTACCATAGCACATATCATTTCTTCATAAAATAATTTTCCTTTGGCACTTACCTCCGAACACTGGCAATGGTTTCCCTGTTTTTAAAACGACTAAAACGTGCAGTGTAATTTAAAGTTTTCATGAAAACCTCTGAAAGTTCTTGTTCATCCTCTGCACTTTCGTTCTGTTGCTTTCGATGCTCTAGAAGCATGTGGACTTCGGAATTTAGAAGAGTTTCTGCTGTTTCAAACTCTATTATAAAGTGAGAAATAATAAATGTCAATTCCACAAACATCCCTTAAAATTCTGCTTCTAAATGTTAATTCCGCATCTGGAGCTGACTGTATGTCTGCCCCAACAAAAACTCTGGGGACTTTTTTTTCTTGTCACTGTATTTACATGTAACCAGTATTTTATTTTTGCTATCTTTCAAGTACAATAATAAAAATGATGATAGCTAACATTGATATAGCATTTTACTATGTGCCAGGCACCGTGCTAACTGCATTATAATTATCTCATTTGATCCTCCCCAAAACCCTAAGTTGTTGTGCTATATATGCTACCATTAGTAGGTGCTATCATTATCCCCATTTTACAGATGGAGTAAACAGGCAACACGAGGTTAAGTGACTTGCCCAAGGTCACACTGCTAGTAAGAGTCTGAGGCCCAGACTTCCTGACAGCAGACTAAGCCTCCAGTTGCCTGCTGTCCCATTCAATTATTTTCCATTTCTCACTCCATTCAGTATATAGCACCAATCCAAGCCAAGCTTCACTCTTCACCCTCCATCCTCGTCCCTGATAGGAGCGGGAGTGTCAGTCAATAAGCATTTCTGAAGCACCTACTACGCGCCAGGCGCCTGGGCTAAGGGCTGGGGATACACAGAGAGATGAAAGGCAGTCCCTGCTCCCAAGGAGGGCTGCGGGGGCTACCAATAAGCAGGATTCGGGCAGGATCCCTGGAGGTCACCAGCAGAAGGGAGGGACTGGCACTCCGGGGGTGTGGGGAGCATTGCACACCCGGGACGGCGGGGAAAGCCCGGAACGGGGATGGAGCGTCTCGCGCGAAAAACAGCAAGAAAGGGCCCATTATGGGCTTTTTTTTCCCTTCCAGCAGGAAGCCGGCTCCGGTAAGCCACTGACAGCCTGGACCCCCGGGGGAGGGCACCGGCTCCACCAGCCCCCGCCTCCGCGCCCCGGGGCGCCGCTCCCGGTTCGCGGGGTCCTCCTCAGCCCGGTCTTCCCCTCGCGCGGGGCGGTCCCGCCTCAGGGCGGCGGGGAGGGAGGACGGCCCCGGCCGGGCGGTGGGGAGCTCGCCCTCTCCCCCGGGCCCGAGATCCGCAGCGCCCGCCAGGCGCACCTTTGGGGAAGACGAGCTGCGAGGCGTCTTCCTCCACATCGCCGGCGCGAGGGTCGCTGCCTCCGGCCGCCATCACGCTCCAGCTCCGCGCCAAAGGCAGGACCGGAAGCGGAAGTGCGCTGAGAAGGGAGGCGGGGGCCGGTCCTGGGAGGGAGGAGCCGTCCGGCTGAAGGAAGAGGCCTAGGGGGGGAGCCATGTTAGCCACAGAGGTGGGGAAAGCGGATCCTCAGAGGCTGGGGAGAAGTCATTCTTTCCTGCCCAGCATGTTGTTGCTCATGCGCACACCCACCCCACTGACTTGCGGGAGACCCTGCTCAGCTTCATTCACACACCTATCCATGAACACTGCCGACTCTCTAGAAACTGACACATCCCAAGATGCGCACTCTAACATACGCAAAGAATAGACACACCTTACCTTTGCATGGCACTACCTTCATAGACAAATCATAGAATTTACATGACAGAATTCAGAACTATTCCACATCCACCTTCCTTCCTTCCTTTCTCTCTCTCTTTCTTTCTTCCTTCCTTTCTTCCTTTTTTTTTTCTTCCTTCTTTTCTTTCTTTCTCCATCTATCTATCTAAGACCTAAAAAGGTGAAGTGACTTGTCTCAGGTCACCCTGTGAGTTAGAGAAGAGAGGACTAGATCCCAGGCTTCCTGACTCTCATTCTTGTGCTCTTTTCATTGACTAAATTCTTACTCTTACCTGCATTGGGCACCTATATGCAAAGCTGGTGCTGCTTTACTGGTTCAAATCTCCAACTCTGACCCTTACTACTTATGTGACCATAAGTGAATCACTTAACCATCCTGGGCCTCAGTTTCCTCATCTGTAAAGTGAGAGGGATAGGCTAGATATCCTCTAAGGTCCCTTCCACTTCTAAGTCCATGATCTTATAATTATTGTTCAGTTGATTCACTGATGTCCGACTCTTCTTGTCCCTGTGGGACATACTGTTCATGGGGTTTTCTTGGCAAAGAAATTGGACATTTCTTTCTCCAGTGGATTAAGGCAAGTGGAGGTTAAGTAACTTGCTCAGGGTCACAGAGTTAGTAAGTGTCTGAAACTGGATTTGAACTCAGGTCTTCCTGATTCCAGACTATGTTCCAACTACTGAGCCACTGAGATGCCTCAGTTTTATGATTTGCTATTGTTGTTGAGTCATTTCAGTGAAGTCTGACTCTTTGTGACCTGATTTTTGGGTTTTATTGGCAAAGATACTGGAGTGGTTTGACATTTCCTTCTCCACTCATTTGACAGATGAGGAAACTGAGGCAAACAGGGGTAAGTGACTTGCTCAGGTTCACACAGCTAGTAAGAGTCTGAGGACAGATTTGAACTCATGAAAATGAGTCTTCCTGATTCCAAACCCATTGCTTTACTGCTCCACCTAACTGCCCCATCTTATGATTAACCTCTAAGATACATTCTAGTCCTAACCCCATGATCCTCTGAGCTTCCTCCTCTGAGATTCAACATACATATATGTATACACACATGAAAATATGATCCTAAAGAATACAAAGGAGGAGGGGCAGCTAAGTGGCACAGTGGATAGAGCACTGGCCCTGGATTCAGGAGAACCTGAGTTCAAATCCAGCATCAGACACATAGCACTTGCTAGCTGTGTGACCCTGGGCAAGTCACTTAACCCCACTGCCTAGCCTAAAAAATAAATTTTAAAAAATAGAGTCTGTCTCCCAGACTAAATGAACTGTCTTTTTACGGTGACTGAGTTGCCTATTGGTGTTTATCCTGTGGGTTGCTTCTTTTCTCTTTCATAAATCTCTGATGTTGTGATTGTCTGTTGACACATTCAAGGGACTAATTTGCACCTCATAACAGGATCCTGTGGCAGCTACATCTTTAAATTTAACCCCTACTTGACTGGACACCTTTTTTTGTGATTAAGTCTTGGGCTCTAAAGGACTACTTCCTTACAGAGAGTATTTATTACTAACCCCATTTTACAGATGAAGAAACAGACTTGGAGAGATGGGGAAAGTAGACTATATTGAAACAAGTAGTTATAAGGGCAGCTGGGAAGAGAAATTAGGTTTCCTGACTCACAACTCAATTTTTACAGTTCTCTCTCTGTAAACATAATTCATACTCCTATATTCAAACACATGTACACATTCACCCCATTCCCTATTCCAATACTGAGGAGACAAAAATACACATTCACACATCAACACCTTCACACATTTACATGCAGAACATACAAACACCGAGATATGGTTCACATAGACATATGCATACTAAATCTCATGTACAGTCAGGCTGGTTTCCCTGCATTTTGGCACATGTGACCTGCCTAAAAATGGAGAATAACCACAAGGGCAATTTTTAAAATGAGGTCAATACATTTAAAAATACCCAAGAAAGAAGCTTAGACCTAAAAGTGTGAGCTAAAAAAAAAAGTTTACAAGTAGTAAACAATAAAATAAGAAAAAAAGGGCAGCTAGGTGTTGAAGTGGAATAGAGCTCAACTTGGAGACAGGAAAACCTGAGTTCAAATCCAGCCTCAGAAAATTACTAGCTATGTGACCCTGGGCAAATCACTTAAACTCTATCTGCCTCAGTTTCCTCCTCTGTAAGATTATAATAACACCTACCTCCTAGGGTGATTGTGAGGATTAAATTAAATATTTGGAAAATGCTTTGCAAACCATAAAGCACTATATCAATGTTAGCTATTATTGCTATTGATGATGTTATTATTATTAAAATTTCTCTAAAACTCAGAAGTTAAATATTTTATCTTTGTAACTGCAGTTCTTTCATGGTTTCTCTCTTTGTGCTTCTATAGGAATGTATATTAATTCATTAATTTAACAAACACTTGTCAAAGTGTGCCTGTGTGCAGAGCATTGTATATAATGTAATGATCCCCAGTAAAAATAAATTTGTTATTTCTTACCTACCCAGCCTCAGTTATTTTTATCTCAGTGGCATCCTCATGCTTCTTTGATGGGCAAAAGTGACCTATTGCTTCCTTTTCCTCATTCCCTTGCTCAAAACCTGTTCTCAAATCTTTAGTTGTCAAGCCATAGAATTTGCAGAGCTAGAATGGACCCTCCCAATTTTACAGATGAGAAAACTTTCTTGCTAGGAAAAGACAGTCTTCTTACATCCCTCCCTCAGGAGACATGTTTAGCAGACGATGGGAGGTGAAAGGCTGGATGCAAGGTTGCTCATCTTCTTACCTAGGACTAGAGATGATCTATGTCTAAATTGTACCAGTTCGGAGTTTATTTTGGTAAATGGGGTGAGATGTTGGTCTACACCTTGTTTCTGCCACACTACTTTCCAGTTTTTCCAACTGTTTTTGTCAAATAGTGAATTCTTGCCCCAATAGCTGGGACCTTTGGGTTTATCAGATCCTGCTGTATTTATTTGTTTCTGTATATTGTGTACCTAATCTGTTTTACCAATCAATCTCTCTCTATGTCTTGTTCAGTACTAAACTGTTTTGATGATTATAGCTTTGTAGTCTAGTTTGAAATCTGGTACTGCTGGGACCCCTTACTTATCACTTTTTAAGAAATTAATTCCTTTGATTTTCTTGACCTTTTGTTCTTTCAAATGAATTTTGTAATTAACTTTTTCTAGCTCTCCTTGGTAGTTTGAGTGGTATGGCACTAGATAAATTAATTTAGGTAATATCACTTTTATTATATTGATTTGGCCTATGTCATGCAATTTCTTAATAACATCTTTTATTCTCATTCATCTTTGGAGTTACTGGTTGATTACACATTGCAACCTGTTTGGACCAACCATGCACCTTTTCATTGTCCTCTGTGTGATGCTCATCTTTAGTTCTGAAAAAGAAGTGATGCTTTGAGTCTTAGTGCCCTACGGCAACTCCAGTAAAATAATTTTATTGAAAAGATAGGCCTTTGTTATTATAGGAAGCTTGGGTCAATAAAAATACTTAAGAGATTTCTGAAAAACAACCCAACTCTTCTCTTCTATCTTTCTTATCGTGGGTCCAGCTCATTGTCCATCTGAACTGTCTGTCCCATTTGTATATATATCTGTTGTTGGACAAACTCTAAGGGGAAGAAACAATCACATGCATGTTGAAATCTGAGAAATAGGCATTCTTCATCCACTTGGTCTTTACTGTGTGGATGGAAGACTAAGCTCCTTTCAGTGATTACAGATACTTTCTAGGAGGTTCTGCAGTGTCTTGGGGTTTGGTGCAATTAACACAATTTCATCTGCAAAAAGGAGCATTTGGAGGATCTCACTCCCTTCAAGGAATTCCTCATTGACTTGGACTCAGTGCTAGATCTTCTCCATCACACTGACAAATAGTTTTGGTGAGCATCTATCTCCCTATCTTATACCTTACCTGATGTTTATTATCACAGGGTTATTGAATAGACTTATTTCTGTTGTATTTTCTAATGATTCCTGAATGATTTTATTATATGAATGGGACACATCTTATTGTAAGAGAGTCGATAAGACAGGGTTTTTTACCAAAGAAAAAAAATTGGAGGGGGGTAATCAACAAATTAACATTGTGATGTGCTATTATATTCTTTAGATCTTTGAGTCAGTTATTAGATGGTTAAGATGTGGTCTATTTTTAAATTTTTCTTGTGAAATCCTGCTATTTTCATACTACTATTCTTATTAAAGATGCCCTCAATTCTTGTATAGATAATCTTCATAAAGATTTTGTACACATAGGAGAGCAGACTTCTAGATCCTTAGTTATTAATATTCTGTGTCACTTTTTTAGTAGTATTAACAGGGCTTCATACCTTTTCCATACCTTTGAAATCTTCCCCTCATTCATATTTCTTATATATTGCTATATCAATGCCCTCATGATTATATTGCCTTATACTTTAATTCATTGGTGAAGTATATAAGAAAGTCAAAATGTAAATAAAGACAAATATGTCAGTATTATAAATGGATGCTGCGTGTTGGACCTCTTGGAATTATTGTGGGAATCCGATATGTAGGGAAAAAAACCATAAAATGCTCTACAAATGTGAAGTATGTTTATTGAGGTAACAGATGTAGCACAGCTCTAGCCATTTTTTCCATCTTTGTTCTCTTTGTGCTATTCCCTATGTCTT